GTACCAGGTCACTGCTTTTATAAGAGAGTATGTTTAGAGCACATGTGGCAGGATTGGTAGATAGAGAAACACATACTCAGGCCATGAGGCGAGGTTCTTCTTAGGTGCCGTCGAGTCTTGACCCTACGTACAACATAATGATACACTACACATGCCTGCACCATCCTCACAATTGCTGTGTTTGAGCCCTGGTTGCAGTACTGTGTCAATCCATCTTCTTCTTTATTACTGACCTCTGCCAAGTGTGATGTCCTTTTCTGGGGCCTGGGCCCTCCTAATAACAAGTCTTAAATGTGTGAGATAAAGTCTTGACGCCATCACTTCTAAGGAACATTCTAATTGTACTTGCTTCAAGATGGATTGGTTCATTTCCCCATAGTTATTCAATATTATTAGTCAACACTAATTTTAAATGTATCAGTTTTTTTTCTGGTCTTCTTTGCCCCTTGTCCAGCTTTCACGTGAGGTGATTAAAAGTACCCTGGCTCGGGGTTAGGTCCCCTTACCTGCAAAGTGATATCTTTGCTTTTAAACCGTTTCTCAAGACATCCTGTATAGAGTTGCCCAATGTTAGGAGACAACCAAAAACCAAACCCACTGCCATAGTCAATTTTTGACTTGTAGTGACCCTATAGGGCAGAGTACAGCTGCCCCTATTGGGTTTTGACCCTGTAAATCTTTATGGGAATAGAAAGTCTCATCTTTCTTCTGAGAGTGGTTGTTGGCTGTGTTGTTTAGTGTCATCGAGTTGGTTCGTTGTGTGCCATCCTCATAATTGTGCTTGAGCCCATACCTGTGCAGCCATGGCATTAATCTGTCTCTTTGAGAGCCTGCCTCTATTTTGTTGCCCCTCAAACCTAGCAACTATGATGTCGTTCTGCAAGTCCCTCCTGATAGCATGTCCAAAGTATGTAAGACAAAGTCTTTCCATTGTCCTGCCTCGATTGCTCATGATAAGTATGCAGAGCCATTTAACCTTTTTCACCTCATTTTCCTCCACTGCTCTAGAAAAGAGAGATTCCCCAAGTATGGATAAGTATGCCTCTTAAGTTTGTACTATTCTAGCACTCTAAGAAATGCAGATTTCCCAATCAATAATCTGAGGTGCTGGCCATCATCCTATTGAACTTTTTGAGCAGCATCACTTATGTTTCCTTGGAAACTATTGGAAGCCAAGAAATGTTACCAAGAAACATGTACAGTGCTCTAGGTGAATATACATGTCAAGAAAGCCAGATGCTATTGAGTCTTCTTTCTGTTGAGTTCTGCACACACTGCTGTATCATCTGGAGTGATAGTTCGCACAGTCATTCATTTGAGGATCTGAGTTGATAGAGGGCCTCCACTTTTGTATTTAACACATGCACCTTCACCTTGACTTAACTCAGTTCTCAGTATGTACTGTGAAGCAGAAGGAATTCAGCAGACATTCTTAAAATGGTAGAGAACTCTTTAAGAAAACATTTACTTGGAGAAGTAGAGAAAGCGTTGGAGAGATTCTCCATGTCCTGGAATTCTTGATTAAAATGGTCTTTCTATTTAATATGTTCTACTTCAACTCTAAGATGATTATTTTTAAAGACATTTTGCCAACTCTTCATCAAACAATGCGAAACTTTTCCAATTGAATTCCAGGCAGCATTGGCTCATTTATTAAAAACATGCTTTTACATCAGTCTGGAAGTATTTGACATCAAGAAAAGTTGAGTTCCTAAAAAAAAAAAAAAAGTTGAGTTCCTTTTTCATGAACCCATGGCTGAAGCAGTACGATTACACTGGCCAGAGAGGATGTTAGTCATATCAACAGACCCACTCTGTGTTGTCTTCTTCATGGGAAAGAATCATTTGATGAAACATTCTCAAGTTGGATGTGCCCTTCCCAGAAGAAATAGACATAAATATTAATCAGTAATGGTAATGGATTCTTCCTTGGCACTTAGAACTAAGAACAAGAATTTAGACATACATGTTTATATACGTGATTAAAGTGACTATAAATAACCTCTAATACATATTGCGAACAGCTGTTCTTTTGCTCAGTTTGAGAAAAGCATTTTGTTGTCATTGGGTGCCATTGAGTATGGTCCAATTCATAGCCGCCCTGTGCACAACAGAACGAAATAAAAAAAACCATATTACTCTTGAATACAACACTATGGATGTATTCCTCTTATCACCATCATAAAGCTCTGTGTATGTAGAGGATATTTTATTTATTTCTCCTCTTTAACAGAAACACTATAAAAGGGCAGTTGTAACAAACAGATTTATTCGTACAGTTTAGGAGGCTAGAAGTGCAAGTTTAAGGTTCTGGCTTTAGGGGAAGGCTCTCCCTCCAGTTTACCCTACAGGGGAAGGTCTTTGTCTCTTTGAGCTTCTGCTCTTAGTGATATTCTCCCCCCTGCCCAGTCTCTTCTCTCCTCAGCAGGTTTATATCTCATCTCTCAGAAGAGACTTAACTCAAGATACCCGTACGCTAATCCATCCTTATTAGAGGAAGACAGTACATTCCCAAAGGGGATCATAACCACAGGTATATAGGTTAGGTCTTAGACACACAGAGTTTCCCTCTCTATCCCCAAGTAAAGTTTTCCTGTGAAACCTAAACCCAAATCTCCTCAAGCATGGGAGCAGTGACCGTTAATTTATATGGGAAACTTTTCATTTCAATTTATCACCCCCCCAACCATTTTATTAGCATGTGTTTTACATATCATACAATCGATAGTTCAATCATATCCAGGAGAGTTGTACAATCATTACCACATCAATTTTAGAGTGTACCCCACCCCATGGGTACATAGCCTCTAAGATGAGTTATGTAACCAATCTGTTCTAGTGCTCCCTTCCCCCTTCATTATTTACTGCTGCTAGTCCCTTTCCCTCCCTGTCACCCACCCTCCACCCTTGTATTCCCAGTATCCTCTTGTATCAGTTACTTTCATTATGCACCCACTCCTCCTGTGCTTTACAGCTCGGAGACCCAAGAGAAAACAGTAAAACACAAAATTACACTAAGGTGGTGATAAAATCACAAGGACAAAAGTATAAATAATACATAAGAAGGAAAAGAACCCCAGCAACATTCAGAAGTGCAGGGAAGAAATTTCTGTCATGAAACCTGTAAGAGATACTTGCACCCAGACAAATTAAGGTCGTGTTTACAGGGAGGTCAACTGGCCAAGTTTCAAGTTCGATCCAGCCTAATCAGGATTACAGTGGTCTCTGCCTGATCGTAAGGCTGTTCCAGACTTGCCTGTGGCGAGAGCGGATCTGCCAGCTTCTCAGTCTGACTAGATACGGTGCAGATGAGTTTGGGCTCCCACTGTCCCTCCTAGCCCTCCACAAACTGGGTGTTCATAATTTTAGCTCGGATGCTTTTCTCCTCACCGTATTCGAGTTTTGTAATTGTCACCTTTGAATCACACAAGCTGGTGTGCTTCTTCCATGTGAAATTAGTTGACTCCTTGCTTAGATGGCTCCTTGTTCGAAAATAAGCTTTTAAGAACCCAGACACTATTCTGATTGGTAGCTGGACACCATCTGCTTTCTTCACCATACTTGGCTTTAGCATCCTTCTATTCTGTGATCATTTCATGAAGGTGAGTAGGGCCATGCTGTAAAAACCGATTATTAAATTGGAGCTAAGGTATAGTGCAAGCCCCAAACCCATTCTTGGATCCAAGCTTTTGTTTTTGGCTGTAACTTGGGAATTAGCATATGTCATATTCCCTGGTTCAATCATGTTAAACGTAATTGTATAATTCCTTCCATAATCAGATTCTAAAACATACTTTTCCTTTCTGGACTTCTTGACATCACGTCTCTCTTATCACCCACACCCGCTATAGCCCCCTTCCCTCCAAACCCTTGCTATATTTGCTGTCCCTATAGGCTCAATGTCCCTGGATTTCATTTACTGAGAAACAAATAACACACCTTCAAGAGGCTGAGCCCCAATGGCGAAGCACCTCTGAGATACACCCTAATAGAAACAAGTATAAGCAGAATATAACAGAATGGCCGTCACAGGCTTGCCAGGATAATAATGTATCTGAATACAGCCAACAGGGCCTTGATGTAGCAAGAACTTGTTTTTCACCAGCCAACAGTACACCACTCTTGGTACAGCTGTCTTCTGCTTCCTTCAGACATCATTTATTTTCTGGCTTAAGTCCTCAGGTACAAGTGTGTCTGGGGGTTGAGTTCAGTTCACCCGGTGAAGTTTATATGGGAAACATTTTTGAGTTGTTTCCAGATCCCCAAATAACTTCCTAAATAATACCAAGTAACATGTAAAAATGCTCCATTGGTATATCATGTTGAGAGAAGCAGCCCCAAACTCTGACAGCTTCAGGGAAGGAACTCAGGGACACCAACACCCCAGGCAGGGCACTTGGTGCCTGCTGCTGCTTTTTCTTACATTATTGCTTGGGTGAAAGTGTGCAGACCAGATTGGCTTCCCATTCAACAACTTACACAGCTTTTCCATGACATTGTTTATAACATATGCTACCTCTCAGAGGGCTTGCTACAAGCCAAATGCTGAATACCTGTTTTGCTTTTCAACATTTTTCCCCCCAAGTAAAAATCTTCTTCGTATTTCTTTCAGTTAGTGAAAACACCACTATTATAGGACTTTCTTAAAAATGATGTGACATAAAGCGAACTTGAAAAGCGGGGTATACTGCTTTTCCTGGTGGGGGGTTAATAATTAAATCCATAACAAGGTTTATAAACAGTCTTTTTCATTAGCAGCATTTCAGCAAACTTTTGAAAAGCAGGGGATACTGCTGTTCCAGGTGGGGTGGGGGTGGCGGTTAATAATTAAATTCATAACAAGGTTTATAAACGGTCTTTTTCATTAACAGCATTTTAAAAAATTGGGTCAACATGCTTGCTAAAATGAGATATTAAGATACTTGTGTATCTTAAGTTTAAAGAAAAACCCAAACAACATAAAATCTAATTTTATCCCTTGTTTTCTGCCCTCCTTCCAGGCTTGTGTCTCCAGAGCAGCCACCAAAGGCCAAGTTCTTGACCTTAGGGTCCAAGTTTCGCTACAGTGGCCGCACCCAAGCCCAGACCCGCCAGGCCAGCATCCTCATTGACAGGCCTGCTCCCCATTTTGAGCGTACCTCTAGCAAGCGGGGGTCCAGGAGTCTGGATGGAAGTAAGTACATTAAAAATGGTTCTGGAGTCTTTAACCTTTCTCATTCATCAGTTCAAAAAGCTCCCACTGAAGCTCTCCCAAGGTCCCAATATATGAATAACTTTCATAACTCCCAAGGGTTCATTTTACACATAACTACACTATAGATTTTTTTTTAATCATTATTAGGGGCTTGTACAATTCTTATCACAATCCATACATACATCCATTGCGTCAAGCACATATGTACATTTGTTGCCCTCATCCTTCTCAAAACATTTGCCTTCTATTTGAGCCCTTAATATCGGCTGCTCATTTTCCTCCTCCTTCCCCACTCCCTCCCCCCTCCCTCATGAACCCTTCATAATTCATAAATTATTATTTTGTCATCACACTATAGATTTCTAATGGAGAACTATGGTGTACATTTGAATCATTTATCTGTTATAATTTTAATTATTTGCAAGTTTGTAATTTTATAGAGTTTTGAAGGGAAATAAACAGATACCCTTTCTCATGTCTGTGTCTCATTACCTTTTCCTAACAAATATCAAAAATATGCCAGCCCATGTCATAAGCCTTGATGTAGTCCCTTTTTGGTGTCCTGAGAGAAAGAAGTCATTACTGGTTTCTGGAATACTGTCTGGTTTTGAGCTATGAGGATCTGTAGTTCTTAATACTGTGCATTTTAGCATCTAAAATGCACAGCAAACCAGTGCCTTTTCCTTGAGATGTATGAACTGTGCTTAAGGAAGCCGGCCATCTTGTATGGGCAGTTAGGGCGGTGGGTTAGAGGAAGCCCATTTCTGAAAACAATGAATTTCCCAAGTCAGTGCAGCAAACATGGCACAGTAACCCATTCTTTTTTCTCCTCTGTGTTTCGGACACGAATTCATCAGATGAGCAAGTCTACAAAAGGATAATTGTATTATTGTGAAAAATAGGCTTTTCATTGCTAATGGATGACCAGCCAGCCAGGGGGCTCTTTGATTAGGGCTTGCTTTCTCCTTCCCCAGCGCAAAACCAGGCTGTAACCTGGTACTGAGCTTCAGTCTTCCCTGAGCTCCCCATTTACTGACAGGTGTCATGTTTTTCTTTTTTCCTGTTTACTTTTAAAATATAGAATTAGTTAGATTAATTTCTAACTCTCACTTTAAAGCTTGGCAACTTATAACAATCTAGTATTACATGTAAAGTAAAAATCAATCTAATATCTAAAGGCCAAGTGATTAAGTCTATATCTAGTACACCTAAAACCAAAGTACACAGTCAAACCAAAAGAAGGAGGCAAATCAAATGTTTGAGAGAACTCGCAGCTAAAATGCTTATGCCATTAGGGATGGATGATAGCCAGGAAATACAATAAGTCAGGGCATTGTTAAATAGTCTTACCAGGAAAGGAGGGCCGAAGAACCCTTGAACTATGGCTTTAAAGATGAGCATAAGACAGCTGCGTGGAGATCAGGGGAGGGTATAGATGGGCTCGGCTCGAGTCATGCAGGGCCTTTCTATTCTAGGCGCTGTAGGAAACACTGAAGGGTGAACTCCAGAGCAGCGGTTCTCAACCTGTGGGTCGTGACCCCTTTGGGGATTGACGACCCTTTCACAGGGGTCATCCAATTCATAACAGTAGCAAAGTTATAGTTGTGAAATAGGAACGGGAATAATTTTATGGTTGGGGGGGTCACCACAACATGAGGAACTGTTAAGCGTTGCGGCATTAGGAAGGTTGAGAACCACTGCTCTACAGTGAGCAAGCTCACTCAATGGCACACAATCAGTGTTACCTTTTTAAAAAGTCAGGTGTTATAATAGGGTAGGGGAAGCTGAAGAGAACTAGTACAGGTAAATATGATGGTGGTCTCTCCTTGGTAGGAGATTAGTCATTTGGTATTATGGACCAAGTATATGGCCTTACAAAGTTCTCAAGAGTGTGGGAGATCTGTATTGGCTGAAAAAAATTTGTTAGCTTCAAAAACACACAAACGTTGCAAAATGAAATGAATACATGTTAAGACTGCCGGGTCTTTTTGTTTTTAATTTATTTTTTGCTTGTTTTGTTTTATTAGCTGTTGTTGATTTATTTTTTTGTCTTTTTCGTTATGCTTTGATATGCTTTGTTTTTGCACGTATTATTGTCTTAAGTATGTCCATCTGGACAAGATAGGCAAGATGAACAATCCAGACGAGAGAACAATGGGAATGGCAGTTCTGGGGGTACACGGTGAAGGGAGAGATGAGGGGAAAAGAGGGGGGCTGCCAAAAAACTCAGAGACAAGGGAAGAATAAGTGATGGCGAGGAGGGCATAGGATGCTTGCGGGGCTGGGGGCGGTTCTATCAAGGGCAGTGTAGCCAAGAGGAATTACCAAAACCGGAATGAAGGCTAAACGTGATAGTGGGACAGGAGGAAAGTAAGAGGAAATGGAGGAAAGAACTAGGAGGCATAGGGCAGTTATAGAGGTCTAAATATAGGCATGTATATATGTAAATATATTTACATACCATGATGGGAATAGCGCTATGTGCACATATTTATAAAGTATTACGGTAACAGATGGACATTGGGCCTCCACTCAAGTACTCCCTCAACGAAAGAACAATTTGTTCTACTAACACTGCACTCTTTGATGTTCACCTTCTCTGACATGATTGCTGAAGACAAAGTGGGTGCATAAGCAAATAGCGTGAAGAAAGCTGATGGTGCCTGGCTTTCAAAAGATAGTGTCTGAACAGGGCACTAACTCACCCAAGGGGAGGGTATTGTTTATATCTCCACAGGGAAAGAGAGACCAGACTTCAATCTGGTGCTCCAAGACACGAATGCAACATACCAGCATGAAGCCAGGAACCAATAGAGTGGTCTGATGCGCCGGCCCCACTCTCAACTAAGTGGACAGCCCGCCACCCCGCAAAGAATTCACTTCAGAGCACTGACGCTACAACTCAGGGAGAGGGACATGTTTGATCAGCGCACACAGGAGAAATCGAAGGGGGAGGAAGAGACAGTAGAGCACCCACCAAGCGCGGAGGACGATAGCCCCTCTCAGAGCAGCCCGTGAACAGAGAGGACCATAAGGCAAGCCCCACTATGAGACACAGCATTCATCACTGACCCATAGCCCTACAGGGGACAACACTGGAGACACGGTGTGGGAATTGCGCCCAATCTAACTCCACCACACTGAGGCAAAACACTTAGGGCATGCAACAGAAAATCAAGGGGAGCACAGCAAGGAAGTCCTCAGGGAATACCAAAAATAGACTTTGGACCCAGGGTGTGGCACCCCATGGCTTGGCCAGAACACATCCCTAAAGGTCCACAAACAGACCTTGAACTATTTACAGCTTTTTCTTTTTTTGGTTTGTTTTGCCCTGTTTTTGTGCATATTATTATCTGCAGGTCTATCTAGATAAGATAGGTGGAATAAACCATCTGGAGGAGAAAACAATAGGACTGACAGTTCCAAGGGAACATGGGAGAAGGAGGCGGGGGAAGGAAGGAAGTCTTGTTAACAAACCCAGGGTGAAGGGAACAACAAGTGATCTAAAATTGTTGTGTATGAGGGTGTAAGAGGCCTGGTAGGGCTTGATCAAGGGCAGTGTAACCAAGAAGAATTACTGAAACCCAAATGAAGGCTGAGCATGATAGTGGGACAAGAGAAAAGTCAAAGGAAATAGAGGAAAAAAGTAGGAGGCAAAGGGCATTTATAGAGGTCTAAATAAAGGCATGCACATGTGTAAATTTATATATGATGATGGGGAAATAGATCTATGTGCATATATTTATAGGTTTAGTATTAAGGTAGCAGATGAACATTGGACATCTACTGAAATACTCCCTCTACAAATGAACATTCTGTTCTATTAAACTGGCATTCCATGATGATCAACTTGCCGACACGATCGCTGAAGACAAAGCGGGTGTGTAAGCAAATGTGGTGAAGAAAGCTGATGTTGCAGCGTCTGGGGTTTTCAAGGCTTGAAAACAAGCAAGCATCCATCGTGCTGAGAAGCAACAAAGCCCACATGGAAGGAAGCACACCAGCCTGTGTGATCATGAGGTGTTGAAGGGATCAGGTTACTAGGCATCAAAGAACAAAAAAACCCTATCATTGTGAATGAGGGGGATTGTGCAGTGGACACCCAAAGCCCATCTGTAGGCAACTGGACTTCCCCTTACAGAAGGGATTTGGGGAGGAGATGAGCCAGTCAGGGTACAGTGTAACACTGATGAAACATAAAACTTTCCTCTAGTTCTTTAATGCTTCCTTCCCCCCACTATCATGATCCCAATTCTACCTTTCAAATCTGGCTAGACCAGAACATGTATATGGGTACAGAAAAGAGCTTGGAACACAGGGAATCCATAACAGATAAACCACTGAAGACCAATAAGGGGATGTGTGATAATAGGAGGGAGGGTAAGGTTTGCGGGGTGTGCGTGGGAGGAGTAAGGTGGAACTGATCACAATGATTGATGTATGGTCCCCATGCCAGGAGGACGAACAGCAGGAAAGTGGTTGAAAGCAGACAGCTGTCGGTGGAAGACATGCAATACAAAGAAAAAATAATTTATAAATTATCAAGGGGGCATGGGGGAGGGTGAGTGGGGGGAATGAGCTGATGCCAGGGCTCATGTAGAAAGAAAATATTTTGGAAAAGATAACATGTACAGATGTGTTTGACAAAGTGGATATATGTATGGATTGTGATAAAGAGTTGTAAGAGCGAGCCCCCAATAAGATGATTGAAAAAAACAAAACAAAACTGCCAGGTCAGCATTTTGTTAGCTTCATTAAATTTTAATTTGATATTAAAATTCCAGTAATATTACCCTTAAAAACATGTCTAGGTCAGATTTTCTCATTTTTGATATAATTTTTTAACAAAGCGTGTGTGTGTGTGTGTGTGTGTGTGTGTGTTGGGTTTTAGAAATTGTAATTAGTCACCAGTTTTTCATAGCCATATACTTTGAAAGGAAAACAATAAAATCTCAAAAAGGTTAAAAAAAACCCCAGGAAAATATACTTATTTAAAAAAAATTTTTAAATCATTTTATTGGTGGCTCATACAACTCTTATCACATTCCATCCATACATCAACTATATAAAGCACATTTGTACATTTGTTAACTCTCATCATTCTCAAAATATTTGCTCTCCACGTAAGCCCCCGGCATCAGCTCCTCATTTTCCCCCTTTCCTTTTTGCTCCTCCCTTCCTCATGAACCCTGGATAATTTATAAATTATTATTATGTCATGTCTTACACTGTCTGATGTCTCCCTTCACCCACTTTTCTGTCGTCCATCCCCCAGGCAGGAGGTTTTATGTAGATCCCTGTAATCGGTTCCTCCTCTCTACCCCACCCTCTCTCCACCCTCCCAGTATCACCACTCTCATCACTGGTCCTGAAGGGATCACCAGCCCTGGATTCCCTGTGTTTCCAATTCCTATCTGTACCAGTGTACATCCTCTGGTCTAGTCAGATTTGTAAGGTAGAATTGGAATCATTATAGTGGGGTGGGGAGGTAACATTTAGGAACTAGAGGAAAGTTGTATGTTTCATTGTTGCTGTACCCTGTACCCTGACTGGCTCATCTCCTGCCCACAACCCTTTGGTAAGGGGATGTCCAGTTGCCTACAGATGGGCTTTGGGTCCCCACTCTGCACTCCCCCTCATTCACAATAAGATTTTTTGTTCTTTGATGCCTGATACCTGATCCCTTTGACACCTTGTGATCACACCAGGCTGGTGTGCTTCTTCCATGTGGGCTTCATTGCTTCTGAGCTAGATGGCCGCTTGTTTACCTTCAGCCCTTTAAGTCCCCAGATGCTATATCTTTTGACAGCCGGGCACCATCAGTTTTCTTCACCATATTTGCTTATACACCCATTTGTCTTCAGTGATTGTAGCGGGGAGGTGAGCACACAATGATATGATTTTTGTTGTTGTTGTTCTTTGATGTCTGATACCTGATCTCTTCAGCACTTCATGATCACACTGGCTGGTATGCTTCTTCCATGTGGGCTTCTTAGCTTCTGAGCTAGATGGCTGCTCCTTTACCTTCAAGTCTTTAAGACCCTAAATGCTATATCTTTTGATAGGCAGGCTTCATCAGCTTTGTTCGCTACATTTGCTTATGCGCCCACTTTGTCTTCAGAGATTGTGTCAGGAAGGTGGTGAGCGTTACGGAATGCCAGTTTAATAGAACAAAGTGTTCTTGCATGTAGCGAGTACTTGAGTGTTGGCCAAATGTCCATGTGCTACCTTAATACTCTATAAATATATGCACATAAATCTATTTCCCAATTCTTATATATTATATAAGGAAAATATACTTATTAAAAGAATTGATTGTAATGCTCAATATAATGTGATGTATGGACTTTCGAAAAGCAAGAGAATTTTAGGGTTATTAGGGGAAGAGAAAAATTCAGGCTCCTGGCATTTAAGGGAAGTGAACAAAGCATGAGCCAGATATTTGGTAAAAAAGAGCAGAATTGGCAAAGGAAGAGCTTTAGCTCAAAAAGTGCCTTGTGACCCACAGGTTAGAAGTTCTTGGCCCCTCCCAAGTTCCATGTGGTATATAGCCCCTGCCCTTCAGGAGAGTTGAGTCCCAATGGCCTCTGTATTAACAGGGTTTCTTTCTTAGTGGCGTGCAGCCAGACAAATGATGTCAGTACAATCCTCTGTATACAGGAAATTCCTTCTTGAGGTCAACGCACTTTTGGCTTGGTCTACAGTGAGATAAAATTTCAACATGATACTTGTTCTTGTCCATCTGTTGGGGACTGTAGAAGGTGAAAGGAACCTAGGAAATTAATCATATAATTTTATAAGTAATTTTTCAGTAAATATATTCATGAGCAAGTTTAGGCAAGACCAAAGAGACCTAGAGAATTAAACTACTGCTTTTAAGTTTTCGTTCCAACTGGTGTTTCAGCTGATCTTAGAGCTCCTCCTATTGACCAATGCCATGATCAGATAATAGTCTTAAAAAATTTAGGATTTGCAAGTTTGCAGTTTTACATGTTTTCACCAAGTTGATTCCAACTCTTGGCAACCCCATGTACCACTGAATAGAACTATTCTATGGTATTTTCTTGGTTGTAGACTTTCCATGATGCTCCTGGGTGGGTTTGAACTACTAAACTTTAGGTTAATAGTTAAGTGCAAGCCTAGGTGTAGTTTAACCATGGATTTATTTTGCAAATTCGTGTTTTCAGACCTTAACCAGTATCCTGCCTCTTAATTATATGCTGTTTATCTCCATAAGAGGAAAATATTTTTTTAATGTCTTATCCTTTGCGTGTCTTAAAGTATTTCACATTGTAATTCTTTACTAGCTTTGATTGGTGTTGAGGACCAAAGTCTCATGAAGGAGTTTTCTGGTCCTGCTGAAGAGGCCTTTGCATATGGTCCTGGAGTTGTGAGTGCTGTTGGGGTACAGGTTGAAGACAGCAGAAGAGATGTCAGAAGCCCCACAAAAGCCCTGCATGTGCAACTCAGTGAAGGAAAGGTATGGTAACGTCTTACAATATAGGATTTTAAACTTATGCTAAGGCAAGTGGCTACCTGCTGGCATTTGTTGTTTTAGATATTAACTATCAGCACATTAAAATTAGTCTGCTCTATATTGATGTCAGTTCCTAATTTTCAAAAAATAT